GGGGGGGGGGGGGGGGGGAAACCCCAGCTGTTGCTGATGGTTCTTTAAAATGTACAGGATTTAAAATGGATTTTAATTCCAAAGTGGATTTTAAAATGAACAGGATTGCAGAGGCGGAAATTAAGAGAAACTTTCTGATAGTTAAACTGGGCAACAGTTAGTGGGCAACCATCTCCCCTTCACCCACCCACCCAGAAGTAATTTATTTTCCTTTGCTGGAGGGGTCCAAGTAGGGAAGGGCCTCAATTTGTCATAAACATCCGTTTGGCCTCAGTTTGGCCAATTCCACAGGGTCGGTCTAAATGACCTCTGGGCTCCCCCCAGCAATGCTAAGAATATGGAACTTCTTCCCAGCCTCTCCTCCTGATGCAAGAAAGAAAGTTCTGCTTTTCAGATGAGCTCGAAGCGAGGGAACGGAAAGGAAAAAAATTGTATTTTGATTATATTTCAATTAACGTTTACTTTTTGTGTTTACTGCAAACCACCCAGAGTCACTTCCTAAAAAACAAAATAAAGTTGTATTTATGGATAATTGAAATATCAGTAAACATCAATCAACCAACCAATCAATCAATCAATCACCTGGGTAGGTGAATTCCATCTGATTTGCCATTGAATTTCGGGTCGCGAAAACTTGTGATGCAGGAAATGCGTGGGAGAAAGCCGAATTCCTTTGCCCCTTTTCTGTCTCTTCCTGGAGCTGTTACTGACGTCAAACAATCCTCTGTGGAAATCAAAATCATCTCCTACTTTCTGACCCCCCCCTTTCCTTGCCCCCTGCAAAAACCTCTGGGGGACCCTCTTGCTTTTTCCAGAAAAACACCTACAAAAACCCTCGAGGTATTTGAAGTTCTTGAAGGGATTTCTCTGACTGGGGATCATGTTTGCAAACTCCAGTTTCCCTTCTCTTTCTTCCTCAGCTTGGCCAGCTGGCAGCGGAAAGGAAAGACGATGCCAGGAGAAAGATAGACTGCTGCGGCACCCCGGGCTTTAAGGACCGGCAGCGAGCCCAACCTGGGTTCAAGCTTGAGATGATGCTGGCAAGAGAGCTGCGGTGGGCCTTGGAGGGGGGGGCTTCGAAGGCTGGGGAAGGGGGGAGCGAATGAGACGGAGACGTGTTTTTCCCAATTTTGCTTCGTCTTGCACTGGCCTGTTTCTCTGGCTCCTGACCCGGCGATGCTGCGGCCCAGACAGAGAGGCATCTTCGTGGAATGGGGCAGGGCTGGGGGCCGAAGGATGCACGCGTGTAAGGAAGGGGGGTCACTTCCTCCTGCCCCGACATTCCAGCCACGTGCCGTGTCCCACGGCGACTTCCCAGATGTCGGCTGGCCAGGAGCCGGGCGATGGGGGGGAATCTTTTTGTCAGAGACTGCCTGTCCGTTCCTGTTTATCACGGCGGATTTCTTCTTGGATTTATTTGATGACTTAGACATCTGAGCATGTTTTTACAGTCGGTTTCCTTCCCCTGCCGCCGTCTCTGTAACGCCGGCTTGCGGCCGACCTCTTAGAGGGGGCGTTCAAGGTGGCTGCCCCATCCTTAGTGGGGATGAACAGACCGGGTCCCCTGGTTCCCTGTCACTGCCCACCCTCCCCATGAGCTCGAGTCCCCGGATGGCCTTGGGCATTGCAGAGATGTCCTGATGGACTGGTTGGAGCGCTATTTTTTTACACATTTTATTTTGGTTGAGAATCTTTTCAAACAATAAAAGACAAGTCCAAAAGAAAAGGGAAGAGAGGACAGAAGAAAAAGAGAGAAGAACAAGGAAGGAAGGAAGGAAGGAAGGAAGGAAGGAAGGAAGGAAGGAAGGAAGGAAGGAAGGAAGGAAGGAAGG